GAGAGAGAGAGAGAGAGACTAGCCAGGTATAGTGGCACACACCTGTAGTCCCAGCACTTCGGAGCTTGAGGCAGGAGAATCCCTGTGAGTTTGAGAACCTGGGCTACATAGTGAGTTCAAAGCCAGCCTAGACTATACAGTGAGATCCTGTCTCAAAAAAAACACATGTGGACTATGTGGTCAGAAAGACCTTAAATCAAACTTAGGCTTGTAATGCATAAGCTGTGCCTCTGAGGAATCTCTCTTTGTCTGTAAAGTAGGGATGTGGCCCCTCCAGAGATCTGAACTCACTTCCAGGGTCTCGTACAGAGCCAACAGCTAAAGCTATTACTATAGGGGACCCTCTCAATGGCCAAACCAGGGGTCAAGTACTACTGTCCCAGCTTACAGATGAGAAACTACAACACAAAGGGGCACATCCAAAGTCACTTCGTGCTCCACCTGGGGCCTAACAGCTCCCTGCTTGCACAAGACAAACCTGGGGCCAGACTGACACATACACAACTTATCAACATAAATAGACTGCATTTTCCAATTAACTAAGTGAGATATGCATTGTGGAGTATTTACAGAAAGAGGAGAATTTGCTGGGGGAAAAGCTGGCTCCAATGAAAAAGATGACCTCATTCCTACGTTAAGTCATGCATCATGCAGCAAACAAGTGCTTTAAAAGCCTCAAACAAAGGGCCAAGGATTAGCTCAGTGGCACCGCATCTGCCTCACAAGCACAAGGTCCTGAGTTCGATCCCCCATACTGGAAAACAAAAAACAAAAAAGTGGGCCGGGGATTTAGCTCAGTGGTTTCGCCACCTGCTGCGCAAGCAGCAAGGACCCAAGACCGATCCCCAGTACCAAAAAAAAAATGCCACAAGGGGCTGGGGATTTAGCTCAGTGGTTTTGGCGGGCAAGCACAAGGTCCCAAGTTCAATCCCCGGTACCAAAAAAAAAAAAAAAATGCCTCAAACAAATGCAGATATGAAGATGAATACTGAGAAAATTAAGAAAAGTGGGGGAAGTGGCACAGATCTGAAGATAACAGCCTACGTCTACCACAAATAAAAGAAGGCTTAATAAACGTGATTCTTGGGAACCAGTGTTTAACCATACAACTTCATACATAGTCTCCCTTTGACCAGCTGTAAGACAAAGATTAAACCTCACCAGGGAGAGAAAACAAGGAACTCAACAGGGAAAGAAAAAAAAAAAGAAAGTACTGAAGCTGAACTGGGGGTGGGGGTGGGGGGGGTAACAGTAATTTTAAATGAATCTAAATGACACCAGTCAGCAAAAAAAAAAACAAACCCCAAAGATCGAGTAGAATATAGGGATTAAAGACTATGGGTTCTTGGTTGATTTGGACAAAGGTTCAAATTACATCTTTCTCATCTGCAAATGCGAAATGTATCTACCTTACTGGGCATGGTGGTGCACACCTATAATCCCAGCACTTGGGAGGCTGAAACAGGAAGACTACTGTGAGTTTGAGGTCAGCTGGGACTACATAGCCCAAACTACACAGTGAGTTCAAGGCCATCCTGAACTGCATAGCAAGACTTTGTCTCCAAAAAAATGTAGCAGACATCCATGCCCCGTGCTAACAGGCTATAAGTGGCACCTGCTTCTTGCTTCCCATAATTCAGCTGTACTGTTTTATATCAGGAGTCAGCCCAAAGCCCTGTGTGACTCAAATGGGCATGTCAGATGGCAGACTGGGTGAATATAGCCCCACCCCCAATGGCTCCCACCAAAGCCTAAGCTTTGATCTGTGAAGTGGCAGGGCTCTGCTGAGTTACATGCAGCTGAGGTCAGTGTGACCCCAATTAAAATCCTTTCCCCTGAATTATGGCTTCTCACTGACCCAGTGGGTTGCTTGCTAATTACACCCAGTCCCAGTACTGGTCCATTCTATCCAAGCAAGATAAGCAGTGCTTACTCCCTAACAGCCCTGCCTGGTACCATCATGCCAGGTGTTTGGCAGGATTTCACTAGATGCCTTTAAGGCACACCCTGCTCCCTATTCCTTCCCACTGTTGTATTCAATAACTACTGAATACACTTGGAGGCCTTTGTCTTTGTTGCCCAGAGCAGCATTGACCAGGCCCCAAGACCCAGCCTCTCTGTTTCCTTTCCACTCTTTATTCATTTCCCTTATGCTATAGTGGCTCATAGGAGGCCGGGACCTACTGCAGGGGTTCTGGAAACATCCACTTCCCCGTTCCCTATTTAAAAAAAAAAAAAAGAGGAGCATACTCACCTCATGAAAGTACACTAGGAATTAAATCAGGGATGTATTTGAAATGTATTTACATAACCATGTCACACAAATGTCAAAGTAAATGACTACTGTTATTACTAGGAGAGGTGGACAGTTTTTATTTTCCCATTATCAAGACAAGTATTTTGTGTGTGTTTGGTGCTGGGTATAGAACCTAGGGACTGTTTGTGCTAGGTAAGCACTCTACTACTTAACCATACCCCCAGCACTAAGATAAGAACTTAAGGAGGCCACATATTCTAACTTTTTTCTGGCATATTCCTTTTTTTTATTTGTTTTTTGAGACAGGGTCTTGCTATGTAGTTCAGGCTGATCTCAATTTCACTATGTAGCCCAGGCTGGCCTTGAACTCTCAGCGATCCTCCTGACTCAGCCTCCCAAATGCTGGGATTACAGCTGTGTGCCACCACACCTGGCTTTTTCTGGCTTATTCCTGACCTCATCTCTTGTCTGTGTAAGATTCAGTTTTAATAACCTTGACATGTTTTTTGCCATGTCAGAATTCAGGGACAGTCAGGAAAACTCTTAAAAGGTAAGACAAAAACCTACAGAGAAAGCATATACTGAAAACACCTTTATGAAAAATAACTACCCAGAGTCTAGGGACAGTCAGGAAAACTCTTAAAAGGTAAGACAAAAA